CGGGTTTTTTAGGTAGCTGTGTCTCCACAGGTCTGCAGCGTGAAATGACAGAAATCGGTGTCCTCGCCACGGTCTAGCCCCGTGGAGGCAGTTTAAAAACGTCCTACAGCTACCTTGCCTCCTGCAGATTCACTAAGATCAATGACAAATTTATCTGGGTTTCTAGGGCAAATATTTTTAGAATTAGAAAAGCCATAGGTAAGTTAGGAATAGAGGAGCACTGAGAGTCACATTAATTTGGAAATTACTTGTTAGGTGGTTTTATGCTTATGAATTGAATATGAGAAGGGATAAGGCAGAATGGAGACTTGCTTGTATACATGAGTATCAGCTGATGCTCTTTTAACAATTTCAACTCCTTTTCTAGGTTTTGATCTGAGGCAGTTGTTGAACAGAAAAGGAAAGAGGTTTAGACTTTGTGTAAGAAAGGTTCTAGGTTGCTATGCCAAACATTGCATGGGAGCAGAGGAACATTCTGTCTTCCCTCCCGCCCTTTTTTGGGAAGGACAGGAGATTTCTGGAGGGTGTGTGAACATATATCTTAACAGAAACTGAGAAAATGGGTTGAGCTGAGCAAGGACCATCTGAGGAGTGTTACATTATATACAGTAATGCATTTGACAAGGTAACATTTTTCAGGTAAATGAGCAATGAACAATAGTTAATAAGTAAAAAGTGTTTTGCTGCTTCCTTGTCTTCTGGGGAAAAAAGGTATAAACAGACCGATTGTGACCTGCTGGTGTAGTTACAGAAATTAAGGATTGGTATATTTTCAGCTGTTTTTTGTGCCTCTGCAGTCGCATAGAAGCCACTACGATGAATTCATACTACCAGAAGTTACAGTAGGGTTCATGCTTGATAACCACTTTCCTTAACTTTATGGCAGCTTTGAAATGATAAAGCCTTATAAAGCTGTCCTAAAACAGGAGAAAATCTGCATAACTAAATATGTCCATGACATATACCCCGTATGCCCTGTATTAGCATTAATGGCTCTTCAGTTCGGCTAAAAAGTTACTGCTGAAGTTCCTGAAGGACTCCTGTCTGCCTGATTGTGTCTGCCTTTTTCAGACACTGACTGAGATGGGAGATGCCAAGAATAAATAAAGATTCTTAGTTTTCGAGATGGGTAGGAATAAGGGTTACTGGGTCTGCTTTTAAATCTTGAGTTGGACTACTGTTTTAAGATATTAAAATGCACAGCGCTTGCGCCTTTGGTTTTCCACACCTGTGAGTGCTAAGGACATTTAGTGCCCATCTAGAGAAAATATCTTTTATTACATGAGCTGTCCAAATAAGTGCTGATTGCCTTAGATTTTAATAATGCTTATGATTATCAAATCTGAAGGTAAGTTTAGAGGCTGTCTTTCACAATGTAAAGTTTTTCTGTATTTTCATCATCTTGAACAATGTTACTTGCTTTTGGGGCTGTTTTTTATTTTATTAGAGCAGCGCTATGGAGCTTGCTCTAAGGAGTATTATTTTGTCTATTCATTTTATTTTAAACCTGTCACGCTTATTAGAAAGTTCCAGAAAGTGTTTTCTGTTCATTCTCTCCCTATGAATATCGTGTCCAAAAATACATTCACAGATAATAGATTACATTACTACATACAAGAACATCCTGACTTCAGTCAAACAGGAATATGAGGCGTTTATTGCCAGAATGAAGAATGGCCAAAGAAATGCATTTTTGGTTCGTGGGAGGTTAAAAGCTCTGGAATCTGAGTCCACAACTCTATTATGCTATAGGAAAAGAGCAATGGAGCTTGAACATGAATAAGTTATCTCTAATAATGTTTAGCGCAAAATATGTAGGTTTAATTAGGACATGAATAATTCAGTTGTAGCTGGCTTCTCTCAGTTATATTTTTTAAATGTTTCAATTCTTGTTTTATTTTTATATGGAAGCTGCCAATGATTGTGTAAAACCTTGCTAATGTGGTGTTAGATTTGTGCTTTTCACATGCTGGTGCTGATTCTTGTGCAGTCAAACTTGAGGTGTAATCAGCAACGGCTTTGCTTGCAGAAAAACTGGAGGATCAGGCTTGGAAGTTAAACACAGACAGATTCTCTCCAGCTGTAAAAACAGCGTAGCCTCAAAGTGAGGCTCACTTTTTCTCATTTGCTGTCTTATATCGAGGAAGTATTGTTATGTAGCTGCATGTACGTAATGGGATTCTCAAGAGAGCCAGTTATCATGCCATATGCAGTCTGAATTAGAATAATATGGCAAACTGGGGGGACAGGCTTTACTGAGAGCAGCAGAACAGTGTGGCAGCAAGCCTAGTTCAACAACTTTTGGTACTGATATCCTTGCAACCTAATGCATAAAGAGAACAAGGTAACAGCTCCTGTTTTACGTTTTGGGGTTTTTTTTGTGTGGTGGTGTTTTTTTTTTTTTTACCCTCCAGAATAAAAGCTATTCAGAAGAATTCTGCAAAAATTAAAAACATAATATCGGAAATTTATAATGTAAGAAAGGAACCCTCGGAAACCTTTGGCACCTCAGAGAAAACAGCACATCCTCTTAAGCCAATCCCAGGTAAATGCAATATTCTGCTGGTATGAGTGTTTCTTCTAGATTAAATACTTTATAAAAATAGTAATATGAAAACAAAACCAAAACAAACAAAAAACTGAAAACTAAGCCACCCAGAATAGTGCAATGCATCAGCAAAATGCAGATCCGTTTGCTGGAACGCAGAACAGCAGTGACACAGTAGAAATAGGGAGGTGTGGTCTCCAGGCTTGGAGAATAATATATTCAGAAGGTCTTTGCTGTTGTGGGAAGCTACCCATGAGGGGAGGCGCAGCCTGTGTTACTGTTACCAGCCGCCTTGACTGCCCACAGCTGGGAGCTCATGAAAGGCATTTTCTTCTCCCACAGGCCTGAGTGTGGAAGAATCACTCAACTTGGATTCTCTTTCTAAACATCTCACTCAGTAATACAGATGGGTGTGGGAAAGGGGAAAAAAGTATATCGCTCGGCAGAAAAAGGCTAAGTTAGAGCAAGAACTCCCGCACTTACTGGCCTTACAAGACACAGTTGAAGCAAAGAAAGAAAAGCTGAAGCTCAGGTTCAAGTCCACATCTGCAAATATTTTTAATTTAGATGTGTTCCGTTCAACGAAAGTCACGTTGACTTTCTTTTTTGTCTTACGGATTGAGGTTCCATACATTGATCAATTATTAACATACATACTGTTGATACTATGATAAAGATTTCTTGATTTGGTTAACTGTGCTGATCACATACATCTTTCCCTCTAACTATTCACAGATATGCTAGAATTTTGTTAGTTGCAAATGCTATTTCTGCCTGGGCAAAATCGGACAAGATTGTCATCCTGCAAGATCTCTCCTCTCAGATCACGAAAAATAAAAATGAAAGAGGTAAAATCATTAAAAATGAAATGTCAAAACAATCGAGAATGAAAGTGCGAGACTACAGAGTCAGCTATAGTGGACTAAGAGTTTGGTCTTTAAGACGGTATCTGTTATTTCTGTCTGGTAACTTTTGAGGGAACTGGTGGGAAAACTGAGTTTCACTGATGCTGTAAAAGGTGTTTCCTAAACAATCATCTGCTTAAGCAGATTGTTTCAGTTCTTTAAAAAAAAAAAAAAAATTTCTAAGTTTTTAAAAAATAGGTTTTCATATAAATGTATCCGTTGATGAAGTGCATGGTTGTTTGTTTTGTTGTTTGTTGTTTTCATTTTTAAATGCTTTAACACTTTTAACTCTGATTTGCTTGTTGAGATAGTAATGTGGTTATCCTACACTGCCATGTCTTATATTTCAGCTCTTGGTGTACCTAGTAAAATGGCTGAAGATTCACTTGAATATTTTGAAAGGTAAAAAGAATATGGTTATTGTGCTCTGCATTAGCAGTTTGCAATATCATAGTTAATACATCATACTGAATGCAGTCCTTCCAGGACGCATTCTTTTTGTGACCCTTTTGGTGTTTGTAAAATGTGCTGGCGTTGCAGCCATGCACATTAAGTCAATTGTTTATCCATTTTCAGAGGTTCTTCTTTGGCCCTTTTTCTAAAGGGACTGAAATTGAAGAGATCAGCTGTTCTATGTGTTGTGAAAACTGACAAGCTAATCTTAAATACATTTCTGTGCAGCTGTACAGATGAAAATGTACAATTTGAGGGTTTTTCAAAAGTGTCGAGATGCCTGGAGGAAATTGGACATTAGATGCTTTTGAAAATCCCAGTAATGCAACTGTCTGTTTCTAGGTGCCTTGATCTCATTGCTAATATAATCTCTTGATATTAAGATAGGAATTAGTTCATCAACTCTTCTCATATAGCCTGCTGTGTAACTGTTACACAGAAATAACTCCTGTTTCTGGCCACTGGTTAATTAGATTACTCCTTCCCAAATCACAATCTTTTACAAGACATATATTAAAATATAGTTCATTTCTCTTTCCAGTTGCCTGCAGATGAATCCCTCCTAGGTTTCTCAAAGTTTGCACTGCGGACACTGTCAGAAGCACTAGGTAATGAGGCAGAAGAGATGTAACCGGACGTGTGGAAACAAAATTGCTGGTTCATACTGGAAAATGGTGTGATGAAGATATACTAGGTTTAAATATGTATATTTTAAAGCTGTGTATTCTCAGTGTTTGGGCTTCTGGACTAGATTGTTATACCATCAGCCAACCATTTTATGTATGTACATGTGTATTTATTTAGTGTTTGTATAACAGGTATCATGTTCTGTGTTTTTTTGTTCTTCCTCTTTCCTAGTTTCAGTGAATTACTTTCAAGTGGTCAGTATGATGCTGCAGCAACTTATGCAGTAAACTCTCCTAGGGGAATTCTCTGTAATGAAGAAGCTCTGAAGTATCTTAAATGTAAGAACTTGATAATTGGGTCCATTCTTACAGGATTTTAGTTGATGTTAGTCTAGTCATTTCAGTGCTTAAGAATTTGGGATTTATCAAATGAGAATTGTTTGTGTGGGTTTGAAGCTTATGTTTAATATTCCAACTTGAAGATAAGAAAAGCTGTAGGGCTTTTTTTCCCCCCTCCTTTGTTGTATGTTAAGGACATGCCCTAAGAGGCAGAAAGGGAGATAGCTAACTCACAACCATTGCTTTTCTTACTGTTGGTGAGGTGTTGGGTTAAGCAGTGGTCTTAAGGTCTGGTATAAAGCTGTTCCTAACGCAGTGCTGAAACTCTTTTATTTCTACTGATAAATTATGTGCAGTAGACAAGAGCAAAGTTCAACCCACTAGTTTGAAAGTCCAGTCCTTACTGTTATGTGTGTTAATTACTCAAGCTTAGTCTTTTGAGTCATAAAGCAATATTCTAGTTAGATTAATTAAAATCAGTTTCTGAAATCTAAGGTATATAAAAACTACTGATGATTTTAAATATCCCAGATAAATGCAAAATAGTCTTTATAATTTCATCTTCCTCTCAATGTTTTTGTTTACATTTGGAAACACAAAATTCAGTGATACTGATGATGTCAGAGACAGAAGCTGTGGAGTATTTTGTCCTTCTGTTGGAAGGAGCCATAGAGGCATTGCTGAATTTTACAAGATCAGCGTGGTTTTTTTTTTCTCTGCATATTTTATTGGCTTTTGTTCAAGTTTTTAAAGCAATAACTGGGAGAAAAACTGTGATTCAGGATCTGAATTACAATATTACAAAATTTGTAATCTTAGCAGCAGATATTATATTTTCTGTATTTTCACTTGAAAAACTGTATGTTTTAAAGACACCACCCCCCACCCCACCCCCCCAAGATTTATCCATTACCTGTCAATGGTAAAATACTGTCACGAACCCTCTGCCTTCAGTTTTGAACAACCTTCATTTGGAGTAATTAACGAAGCATCTGATATGGCTCAACCTCACAAAAGATTTAGTAAGAATTTTGACAGAGGCATTTGATGGGTATCAGCAAACAAAGTCTAAAACTTAAGAAGTCTTAAATAGTGAAAGATACTTTTCTGGGTGCTCAGCCAATGACTTTTGTTTTCATCCCTTTAGCTGTTAGCTGCCTTAAAGGAAGAAATCTCCCTTTGCTGAAGTATTTTGACACTCTGATAAACTCAAGTACTGCAGCTGGACACCTTCCAAGGTCAGCCATAACTCTGGAAGCAATCAAATGTGCGTTGTCTGAAAAGCAATTAAATCTAGTAACACGTTGGGTTAAACAGCAAAGGTATGTGGTTCTTCTGCACTGAGATTCATGGAGGGGTATGCCATCCTCCATTACTTCCCAAGTCATGAGGCTTTGCCTTTTCTTCAAAGTAAATCCTTTCAAACAAAACACAACCAAAAATACATTAATGGATGTCTTTTTTTATTCTTTTGTTAAATCCTAATTTCAATGCAAGCTTGGAGCAAACAAGCAATATCAACAGCTCCTTCTGAAGTACACGTTTTGGTTTGGTTGCTGTTGGCCCTTCTTACAGCATTGTAGACTCCAGTTTTGTTTGAGACTCTTTTCTCTTACACTATACCTAAAAACCATATGGATGTAAGATTTTCACAGCCGTCTGTGAATTAAAAAAACGTAATAACTAGGATATTAATTTCTTTCATTTTATTGTTGATATCAGTACCAGATCCACAGTTTCAAACACAATTACACTAAAAAGAGGCTTAAACGGTAAACCCTATGCCTGCACTTGACCTCTGTTTTTGCATTTATGGGGATAGGATACAATGATATTTGAATTTCTAGAAATGCGTCTGTTTCTGCATTTTTGATTTGGAGAAGACATTAAGTTGTCAGAGATACGTTTTCCTAATCCAGTGTAGATTTGTTTGAAATGGTGAAAATCCTACTAGAACAGTCTGGTATTAAATTAACTATAATGGTTGCCTCTCTGCTGAAAGAATCCCGAGAAGAGCACAGCATTCTTTAATGCTAGCCCATATTTTAGTTTTAAATTGAGATTCTAAACCACCTTGTGCCAGGATCAAAATATCACTTCTTTGTTTCAGTCCTAACCCATAACCTATCCTACTAATGCAAAAAACCTGTTACAGCCTGCTCTTTTGACATGCTGAAGTCGTCATTGTTCTTACAGTAATAAGACCTAGCTAGTGACATCATCACACTGAAACAGTGTTTCTGAAGCCATGCTTTATGACCACCTTGGGAATCATAAAATATTACTGAATGCAATGTTAGTAGACAACAGCTTAGTTCTTCTAGGGTGGAAGAGCGAAAAGCAGCTGTAGTTTCTAGTTTCAAGTATTACAGATATTCACAGTAGTCAGGAATCTGCAAATTGCTTTTAATTCTTTGCTGCAGAAGCCTGTTGAGAAATACTCTTGTTACTGAAACATAATGATGCCTTGTTTGTATAGGTAAATAGGAGATTTACCTCCTATTCTAAAACTATGAAGTTCTGTACTGATTTTAAGTGTCTTTTGCAAATACTAAAAATAAATAAATAAATAAATCCCAAACCACTTAGATTGTAGGCAAAACTGGTAGCAACACCCGTAGCAGATAGGGTACATAACACTTGACAGTATAAATCCCTATAATTGCCACACTGTTTTGCTGCACTATATTATATAATAATTACCACACTATTGTGCCGCTGTAGAATTTTATCTATTTCCCATTCCTGTGTCCTTAGGTAGAATTTCTTAGGAAAGTGTTAAAGCTAGCTGAGCTACTTCTGAGAGTTATACTACAAAATAGCTTGGTTTTGTTAATGTGACAAAATTTTTTCCACTCTTTCTTTGAATCTTCTTTGTACTTTAGAGAAAATGTGAAGTTAGATAGCAAGCTAAATGCCTCAGGGTGTTGCCATTTTCTGTTCTTCTAATAATCCCTGGAAATCTGACTAGGCTTCTAAAACTCGCTTTTTTTGACGTGTTCTTCTGAGTTTATTGTGAGACTGACAACAAAAATTACAAATACCGCCAGTACTGTGTAGATCTGCTTCCATAGGCTGTGCTGTGGAACACACAGCAACAGCCGCTCTGCTCCATCATAGCTTGGGAACAGCACAAGCATTTCCTTATTCCTGAAACCAACCTCCCGGGTCCAGGAACACTGAAAGGCTGCAATTGTTCGTCCCAGCTGCCAGCAACTGGAATTGCAGTAATCCCTGAAAGAAGTGTCACATCGCTTCCTATTGCTTTCAGTGCTCTTAGAGCCCTCTCTGCTGCAGTTGGGAGATTAAAGAAAAGAAGGAAGAGGCTACTTTCTCAAATATAGGGAGTTAAGGCTGTGTGAGGGGCAGAAGAGCTGAAAGGGGTATAGTTTAATACTTACACCTGCAGAAATATGCCCATCTACACAATCCACTTGTTGTAGCTTGTTTTGAAATATTCCAAAGTTACAGAACACATTAGTAACGCTGGTTTGTTTTATTACCTTGTCTTCTTCACGTTCACCTTTTCTGAGGCGGTAGGAGATACTATTTATGACTATGGGAAGGTGGAACCAAGCAATGAGTCAAAATGCCTGGCTTTGGCTCAGGTCATGTACGGTCAGTCTGGCACACTCAAAAAAGTTGCTCTGTGCCTATGTAAAAGGGGCCAAATTTCTGGAGCAATGACTTATATTCAGCAACTGGAGCATTTTTGTTTAGGTAAATAATAAGGCTCTTGTATTGTCTTTAATGATTGTTCTACAATATATTTGTTTCAGGTTTATCAGTGATGTTTTGGACCACATTTGAATAGAAAGCATTTGAAGTGAATACAAATATCTGAACTTTTGTCATTGTGTTTACCAAGGTATCAAGAGCTCTGTTAAAATGTCCCCATGTATTTTACCATAATATCAATACATGCATGCTCTGACGAAGCAAGGAATTACTTTTTGTACACCTGCTAGAAAATCTCCATAGCATTTTGGCAAGGACCCCAGTAGGAGGCTGTGGGGGTTCTCGGAGCCTACAGTTCTAAAACCAAGGTTGTCCCTCTCTGGTGGATCATGAGTTCGTTAATCAAATGATGAAAGGAGGGAAGGGTGCCCTGTGTTCTTTCGTAGGTTCCTTTCTACTTAGCTGCTTTCTGGCAGTGTCCTTTTTTAATCCTATATGTATTCTTGCTTAGACTCTTGTTGCTCAGTTAAGTTAGTTTTTCATACTTATTTTATTTCCTGGACATATTTCAGATCATTTTAAGTGAGGATTTTCAGGTGATCATCTCTTTAGGGTTTGTTGATTTTCTCATTCTATGAGATTTCTAAAATAATAACAGGAAAAAAATATTCTGTATATGTATTTTTTTCAAGTAAAAGAAGGTTAGATTTTAATGTCACCTCTAGCTTTTCCACAGTGTTCAGGGAAATCAGTCAAGATCATTGTGGGGTTTTTATGGTGAGGAAAGGGAGAGGTAACCATACGCAAATACATAATAATCTTCGTATTTAATTTTTCAGATGATTACTTCTTTATGTTGGAAGACTGTCCTAGCACTGCATTAATTCACTGTCTCAGTCAACAGTGGATTTGAAAACCACTATTTTCATCTATGGAGGCTACAGTCTGTCTTTTGTCTCAGCTGATCACAAAAGGCATAGTTTTGAGCTATTGGAGGAAATGTGCAAGAAAAGTAAGCACAGCAAAATTTTAGTAACAAACTTTCAAACTTGAAATTTTAATTCCACTCCCATTTCAGCCTATAAATTACTTTGGATTCAGTGCTCCTGCTTTATAATGTGATCTGAGTAAAAGCTTTTCCTTCACAGTGAGCTGAACTGTGCATTCTCGCATCTTCTGGAGCTCCCGCAGGGATGAGGGTCACTGCGTCAGATTTGTGGTCCCGTCCTGCTTGCCCTCGCACACAGGTTCAGTCTGTGCTGTTGCACAGAGCACCCCCGTGGGACAACCCTGCCACTGAAATAACTCTGCAGCACTTTGCTTGCTTCCAGCAGAGCCTCTATAGGCTGGCTCGTGGGCAACCTGCAACTTCAGCACTTACTGCTTAGGACACAAAAAAATAAGCAAAGTCCTACTTTGTTGTAAGGTTTGTAAGTTTTCAGAGGGACTTTTTTTTATACTGCCAGATGCAGCGGCAGAAGCTCTTCAGGCAGCATGAACTCAAGCCAAGGGCAGACAGCTGCAACAGACCACATGGGCAGCAAGTGCCAGGTCCTGAAACTACTCTGCAGACAAACTACTACTTACCTGCCTGGACTTAGCCAGGAAAAGTGCTTAAATTTAAAGATAGTATTTCTGAAAATTAGGTTTTCTGCATCAGGGATGGTTATTTCCATCTATTGTGCTTATTGTGTCTTGCTCCAGTTGACTGCCCTTAACTTCAGTGCCTGCAACTCCCCTGTCATTCTATTGCAATTATGGTTTCCAAAGTGATTTTGAGTGCAATAGGGGATTTTGGCCTGAAAACTTTTTCAGTTAAAATAAACACTGTTTTTCGTATGGGTCTTTAATTTGATCAGCTTGCTTTTTTTTTTTTTAACTCAGTCATTTATAATCTGTCTATAAAAACAGTGAATGATTTGTGCAGTATGCTTAATATGAATAGCACAAAGCTTATTAGGGCAAATGTAGGATCTGTAAATGCGGTTGTTTTTTTCTTAGATGCGTTGGAACAGGTTATTCTAAATGATACCGTCTATACTTTGGAAGACTGGAATAAGATAGCAGTTGCTTGTGCAGAAAATAACCATGAAAGGTTATCTCAGAAAATCGTGTCGATTCTCACCTCGCAGGATGGAGTGTTTGAAAGTTCACCACTTGAAGATGAAAAAGATGCAAGGATAACGGAACATGTTTTCTGGTAGTTTTTCTATGTTACAACAGAGGGAGCTCTTACAGCAGTCAAGCGAGAAGCCTTCGGGCTCTTTGTATGAACCGTAGTAAACACTAAACGTGTGGAAACAGTGCAGAGAATTATTTTACCATCAAATATCAGTTATTTGTCCCTTTTAATATGTCTGTGTGAGAATGTGTGCACGTTTATATTTTGTTTAACTGGAAATGTATTCTCAGTGTAGAAGAAAGTTGGCGTATTGTACTCTGGTGTGGTATGGTAACGGTATGTATATACTTTCCATCCTGTTCTCAGCTTCAGTATGTCACATATACCCTTTAGTATATGCTGGAGGGAGATACTGCACAGGGTTTAGAATCAGCGTGGGTAAGGGAAACTGCTCTGAGTGGATCATCGTTCTGAGGGAGCTGGACAAAGGGCATTGTGCGGTGTAAATGTACCCTGATGCCTTGGTCTTTTTGGTTTTTTCCTGATGGGCCAGAAGGCTTGCATCGCTAGAGTCATAGTGCAGGTCATAGTATCAAGATAATCTAACAAATCCTGCCAAAATACAACAAATGTCTACTTAGAACAAATTTAGGCTTCAGTTACATGCATCCACCTGCTCCTTGGATTGCTGTGGGAATTGTGGGGTTTGAGGACCATATTACACTGTAAGAGCCAGTACGGGAACTTAGCTTAGACTGATTATTAAGAGATGGGTAATTCAGTCTTGGGGAAAGGAAGATGTCCAGCTGCAGTCCTACGCCAGCAGATTCACTGGGTGCATGTTGGCAGAGCCTCTTTTTAGCTCTCGGCCCACAACCAGTATAAACAGGAGGAATACTGAATGTCATTTACTGTTGTCGCTGTGCTACATGTTCCCAAATAACAGGCATCTCTATAATTAAGCTAGATATGACTACTGCTGTTTTGTTTCAGTTTTAATACATTTTGGCACTTTTTAAAAGCTGGTGGGCCAAATTTATTATACGGATGAATCTGCAGAGTTAGGATTCACAAGAAAACTTTCTTTAAAAGAGAAGAATTACAAGTCTACAGATATTGTAAGTATTATGTGGATGCGGAACAGGGAAGGTATGCAAGTTCAGTTTTCAACATGTAGAATAATATGTCCTGTAAATATAACCCTTAAGTTAACTATATAAATGAAGAGATATTTTCTGAAATAAATTAGTGTTAAATATTTTTTTTCTAGTAATGTCTGCCACTTAGTAGTCTCTTTCCAAGTGCTTGTGAATTATTACTGCTCTGAAGAGCTTGCAATTTATGCAAGTTTTATTAGGGATCCACACTTTGTAATGGACATTAGAACTTCTACCTCAAGAGTGATTCAAATCTATCAAGGACTGGACAGTTTAGCAGCGCTTGAAGTGTGTTCAGTGCTGTAGAAAAAGGTAAGTTCTGTGACCCTGTGAAGTAGGGCCTTGCCAGGATGCTTCTGTAGTTGTCTTAGCTGATCGCATCTTTTCCTAGGTCAGATTTTTTTAATCTGATGTAGCATTTTCTATACTCCATCTGCTATGCTGTGAAGGAATTTCTAGCATTTTTAAAGATCAAAGGGCAGTTAATGTAATCCTATTTGCAGGAGAAAGACGTGATACTGTCAAAAGATTGTGAGAACAGAGATTTAAAACATTAAAGCCTCAGTTTAAAGAACGTGTTCAGGAATAAATAACTTGGGCGATGTCTGCTTTACATATGATTGCAGCTGAATTTTGACTAATGTTCAAGTACATTTTCCCAGAATTACTGAGGGTGAACTACAAATTAAGAATGTAGTTTTCCCTTTTAGTGCTTTTTGCTATTGATGTTATTGAAATTAATGTAATCCTGCCATTATGAACATATATGCTGATGCAGATACTCCAAGAGCAGTCAGGTGAAAAAGTCAACACTGGTGGCTTCTGTGGGATTTCTGAACACAGCACATCCACAGAATAGAGCCCCAAGCAAGTGCTTATGATTGGAAAAAAAATATTGCACGCTGTTTGCAAATACAGGCTAGTATACTTTGGAGACTGCTTGGTTTTATAAGAAATGCAGGGAGCATGAAATGTTTGTTTTCCAGATTCAGATTGTTTTAGCTGTCTAGACTGTTATTTTTGTAGCTGAACTAGAGTATTCATTATTGACACCTGATGTTTTCCTTAACTCAGCTTGACACCACCCGAGTCACTGCAGACTTCTGCACTTTTTGATTATGAAATGCAGAGCAGTTGAATTCCATAGGAGAGAATTCCATAGGAGAGCTTTTTCCAGAGTCTGGTGTTGTCACACATGATGAATGCAGAGGTCAATAGCCATTTCTCTTCCCACTTATTTAATTTAGTTATGAAGTCTAGAATTTTACTTGTGACCAACTTGCATTGTAAAGTTCAAACTTAAAGTATAATTCAATACCAGGCATAAACAAGGGATCAGAAAGAATGGCCAAATATATTTTGTATGCTGGGAAAAGAAAGCCGGTAATACACCTTCATGGAAAAAATGGACAGTCCGTGCTAGATGAAAATTGATTTGTTATTATGCATTGCTATGCCTACTGAAACCTTCAGGTTCAATTTTTTCATTTCATTTTTTGCTGTATATTAATGTATATTAATTTTAATGGTGTTATTTTTTATACATGTAATGAGTGACAAAAGATCGTTATCTGATTAGTTGTCACACTGGTTATAAGATAAGACGGGGTAAGTGTTTGACCTCAGATATACTGTATATATTGTAATTTGATTTACAGCGTAACATACTGTTGACCAAAAGGATGAAAACAATGAATGAAAAGATCACTGACATTCTTACTGCACAAAAGCTGACATCATACAGGAAAGCAGTGCAGATGTAACTGCGATACTCCCCACAGTGATTTCATGGTTCTTGTTTAATATTTGCAGCAGCTGAAAAATGAAAGTGCTTGTTAAATCGAACAAGACAGTGATGGGCTAAACCACAAAATTTTGCTCTTTTTCTTTATAGCCATTTTTACTGTGCGGAAGTGATTTCTAGCAAGGATACATGATCAAATGGCAGGCCTGAGGTACGTGCTTCTTTAGTTGGCCTATTTACTTGCTAGCTGTTGTGTATTAAGTGTTGTCTGGAAGTTTTAGAAATCATGCTACATAAGAATGCAAGTGCAGTGTCAAATGTATACTTTCTAGAGCAAACACAGCTATTACTGGGGAGGACTGTACTGGTGTTGCCTTATGTGCCATATTTTCCTTCAGAAGAACTTGCTGTCTCCCAATCCAAGAATCAGTTGCTATTCATCTGTTGGGATTTAAAGCGATTTAGATCTGTGGGTTTTATTCAGCAACCTCAAGAATTTTCAGTCACTTCATCTTGAAAAAAATAAAAAACATCTTAAAAACTCTATTTAGCAAGGTGACAATATACTTTTACCCAAAGTGTCTGTAAAAGCCAAATAGTATTTTAGTAATATTCAAACACCCAAAGTTACATATAAAGAAGGGATGGAATTTCAAAAAGCTAGAGACATCTGTAAATGCTTAAGCAAGTTTAAAAATCCATTCCTTACAAAACTGTGTCCCCAGTTTCAGACATTATTTTGAAGAATTACCCAGTTTCACAGAAGGAGAGGTAGGAGAGCTGTCTTGTCACCTCACTGGTAAGAGATTCTGAAACATTTTTGATACTGGCAGTACTCACATTTCTTTTTTCCGGTATTTATTAATCAAACTCAGAATTTATCGTTCTCCCAGCGTTTGACAGACTTTGACTTGGATAAAACAGTCTGGTCAAAATATAATAAAGTGGTTGTGAGTTTTAAAAATGCTTCAAGAATGAACAAAATTGACAGGTACACAGCATCGTGGTCCTATGCAATTTATTATTGCCAAGCTCTGACTAGCTAACTTAATTCCTATCTCTACTTGGCCGGTGTGCTGTACTCACCTCCTTCAAATGCAAACTTCACAAAGGTCAGCCACAGATTTATACCTTGATTTAAGGAAGAAATTAGGCTTTTAAAAGATAGGTGCTGAATGGGAGATTAAAGATACTGGAATGAGAGAAGATGTTGTGAGGTTAGTTACGTAGCCTAGTGCCCAGGATACTTACCTGCAGAAGGAAATTATAAGCTGTGCTTTGTGCTTCTTGGAATTCTTCTATCTTTAAATTAATTCATTATTCACTGGAAAAAGTACAAAGCCCATCCAAGATCCACTTCCCAGGTGAGTGCCCTTACCACATATAAGATAGTTTTGCTCCACCCCCCGCTAAGAAATTTCATTAGAGCTTAAAGAAGTGGTAATACTATTTTTATTGCATTCTTGTCTTTGTGAGATTGGTTTTTTTATGTTACTCTGGCAAGTTTTATGGAGAGAAGGAGATGGCTGTAACTTAGATAGCTTTTTGCTGCTTTAATCACAAAACTCTTATGTGATGTGAGAGTTTGGTTTTCTGAAGTTATCAAAAGCAAAATAAAATTTTGTGATAGAGCTTTCACCAAATGCAAATCACAGGTAGAGGATTATCAGTATAAAAGAGTTTGTATTGATAAACAGATAAATGATAAAGATATTGATAAGGGTTTATATTGGTAAGAGTCCATCAGCGATATTCATTAGGACCTTTTAAGGAAAGTTAAGATACTCCATTTTTCAATATGTTTTTATGTTGTTTCTTCAGGCTCTTCCCATTATTTCACTTTTTTTCTTCTCACTTTCTTGTATCCCCATGGGCTAATCATCCTCATACTTTAAATCACAGAAAGGTAGGGAGCAATCTTTCACTGGTGGAAGATTAATGATATTAGCATTGTGACCTAATACAGTAAATGTGTTCTATTTCCATCCTTCTGTAATCCCACTGAAATCCGTGAGTCACACTAAGGATGTTTGGCCTTATGCCTTTTCCTTCACTAAATTTTATGACTCTGTGAGCCTCCTTTCTGTTTTGAAAGCTGTATGTGCAGTCACCTGATTTGCATCATTGCTGAAGCCATTAGTCAGAAAGAGCTATTGAAGAGGCAGCACTGGATGTACCTGACCAATTATCCAAGCTCTTCCAAGCACAATTACTTATGTCCTAGATGTATTACCATTGTTTTGACAGATGGTTTTGAAACTTCCAGATACATTGAGAAATCCTGATAGTTTTATTCCAAATGAGTTGATGGAATCTTTTATCTAGTCACAGAGCTCCAGACTTCGTTAATTAAAACTTCTCACTGAATTTAGTAAACCATAAATTCTGGACTGTGTTTTGCTCCAGTGATACTCACTCTGACTATTCTGCTGGATAGCTGAAAGTGGAAGCAGGTTATCTCTGAAGATAACAGAGCAAAAAAATGAAGTATTAGTTTCTGAGCTTTTGTGGTTGGGTTCTGTCAAGCTTAAACTCCAGTTGTTCACTATTTTATGTTCAACAAAAATAAATATAGTCCAAAACCCAAATAAAGTGCTATAAATACAGTGCAGGGGACAGAATTAGCAAGCATGCAGCTGCTGAAGGCAGATTTGATAAGCTGGAGTAAATTAATTTTGAATGAAGCTCACATTGATATGAAATTTAAAGGGTCAAATAATTTTCCAGTAACTCACCATTAACCCCTGATGTAACTGGAACATCTAAGTTTCTACTTCAGAAGTAAAAGCAAAATAATAATAAAAAAAAGAGTGAAATGCTGTAGTAGCTACACTTATTTAGGTCTGCAATCCCTGATGGTTTTGGTTTTTTTCAACAAGACTCGTACTAACATCTGTTAAGGAGTATCAACGCAGACAATTCCATGCTTTATGTTCAAAGTGATACTTCGCTCAAATGCAGGGAAAACTGCACACCCTCCCTCCTGCAATCAGCAGAGCAGCAAGTAGTTAATTACAGTAATTTTGATCATAAACCATTGTGGGAGGGGGAAGGCAACCCGTAGTGTTTCATATACTGCAGGAACACAAAACCTTATAAGCAGAATGCTATTTTTTAAAAAATAAAAGGAACTTTTTCAATAAAACAATATTAGAAAAGAAATCTCTACTGGGTATCTTGCAGAGATTATTATTTCTTGTACAGCGATAGCACCGAGACTACATTCTCATTTTACCAGATATTGTTCAAATACCAAGAGACAGCAAAGATGAAAAGAAAGCAAAGTACAAATACTGAAGTGGATCTGGAAAGGTCATTGATAGATGCTTTTGTTCTGGTTACTTTTCTGAATTCTAAAATACACAATGAAAAGAGCAAAGGGAGAGAGAGATGCATCATAATAATCTGAAATTTCTAGAGCAGATGATTCTGATTCTAGAGATTAATTACCAGTTAATTTGTACTTCTGAGACCCATTAGGACCAGAATTAAAGTGTGACAAATGTGGCTGCTTTATGAATATAATCTGTGTGTGTGGATAAGCTAAACAACTACTTGCTTGACAGTCTTGAGTGTTAGGTTATTTTATTCATACTTGAACAAAAATACAAGGTGGCTGCAAAATCCCCAGCACCTAGTAAGGAGGTTACACCCAATTCAAGGCACCTAACTCAGCTGAACTGTTAATTCCTGAGGCTGCTACCATTGCTATCATGCATCGCAGGGTCAGAACGCAGTGCAGTTGCCGATAGCATGCAACTGGGCCAGAACCCTCTCCCTGCTCCCCTCCTCAGCTGCAGTTGCTCAGGCAACAAGATCATTCAGCAGCAGAAAAGCACAGAAGGAAACTGTAAGGAGTGGGAGGAGAGAGATTTCCCAGGGGCTGTAGAAAGGGCGAAGGAAAGAGGAGAGAGAATATTGGTACGTGTTTCAGAGAAGATGTTTGCCCTTGTTGTTGCATAGACAATGGAGAGAGGGTGCCAGAGGCTGCTTCAAAGCACTTCAATTAAGCTTCTTTCTAAATTTCCCATTTGGAGTAGCTTCTTTCCCTTTCTTCGATTTTGAAAGAGGTGAGCAGATTGTTTGAGGTGCCTGGTGTTGGATAGTGTTAATATCCTTCTGTATACTAGAACAGCATTCTTAAAGAGTCATTTGGGTGCCTTTACCTGATAAACTTGGTATGAGACATCTGATCTAGTCAAATGCAAGCTGAGGTTTGTGTTGGGCCAACAGCAAAGCTGTTCTGGCACACACTTGCATCCTTCAGAGGAGCTGTAGGACCTCTAGCAGCCGTTGTCAGCACTCGGGGCATCTTCTCCCCTTGGCTCTCAGGAGATCATGGTATGTATCTTAGGGCTCTCACCATATGAAAGTTTTTGGTAACTGGCTTACCAAGTAGGGGAAGATGGTGTCTATGATCATCCTCTTTTAGGAGCAGAGAAAATACTAAAAAACCCAACCCCACAGATTTTTCGTCAGTGTTCCTACAAATGCATTTGCAGTATTGATATCATTATCAAAGTTGTTAAATGTGAGGACTTGTTACTGAAATTTCTTTAAACGTAACACTGATGAAAAATAAATGTTTCTTAGTTCTAAACATTACTACTTCATTATCATTTGTTTTAATAGCTATTGCTTTTTGTTTCATCAGTAACAGAACATTAGTAGCCTGTAGGCTTTACTGCATTCTGTCTGTGCAATTCTGATTTCCAATGAATTAATATTAATTGGCCGAACAAACATTTATTTTTATAACATCTTATGAAGGATCCAGGTTTTCCTTCACGTGCATTTTCTTGCTGTTCTGTTAGCTGTTTTGTGCAAAAAAGCTTTACATTGTCTGACACATCCATATGAAAAAGAAGCATTTTAATCTTTAAAAGCTGCATTACAGTCAAAGTTTCTATTGACAACTAGATTTTTCTTGTTAATTGCAATGAATAATATTGTTTGGATCAACCTGTTTGCTTTCCTAGTCATTTTTTGAAAGTTCTGATATGAATTCTTACAGCGATGCCTACAAAAATCTTGATCACAACTATATGATTAGTACTTCTCATGTTGGCCAATGTTATTATCTCATTGCTTCCCTTGTAGAAAATTTAGATGTGTTGTCTCTCATCTTAGACAGTAAATTCTTTGGAGCACTGATTGTCTTTTGTTCTATATATAGTACCCTGCAAATGAAGTCTCGTTTATGATCAGGGCTTTTGTGCAATGTGGTAATAGAAATCATAACCTCTTCCTGTATGTTTTTCCATCAAAATAGGTAGAGATGGCAGCAGCAGAACGATGATGTCAGCAGACTTGTTAATGCTCTTTGGGCTGGGCTGTGTAGCACTCCCAAAGGCTGCAGCATGCGGGTGGAAGTGGTTTTGCCACTGCTTCAGAACAGATATTCATTCAAGTTCTTACACTTGCCTCCTCATTTGAAGTTCATCTCTTGGAAAGAACAGTTGGCTAAGTTCCTCCTTTATCAGTCCCAGGAGAGGGGATACTTTGGAATGAGATGCAGTGTTTAGTATCCATAAGAGGAATAAATAGATTTCATTAGATCAAGGTAGGGATTGGTACGATAAGTGGAAAGGTGTCAGAAGAAAAGTTAGTTAGGAGTCACCTGGAAGGTGAAGTAAAGAACTCTGTAATGAGAGCGCTATGGAAAGAACAGGAGATGAGAGGTGGTGAAAGGGGTGGTGATTCTGTGCTAGGAATCCAAGGCACTTAATTGGCGTTTAATGTCTTATGGCAGAGCATCCAGGATCTCACATTGATGGAAAGCTGCAACTCTGTACTATGAACGTGCGATATTATTCCATAAAAATCTAAGTTTCTTGTCATCAGGTACATAAACAGTTGCTTTTGTTTTGTTACCCTTTTCATCAGTGGAAAGAATGGATGGCTCAAGAACAGGAAAAGGGGACCGGCAGAGTATATTGCATATAGGGAGGAAAAAGCTGTACAGAAAGGAAAATGCAGAAAGAAAAGCTGAAAGAGGAGACCTGTATGGAAATCAGGAAGGAGGAAAGGTAAGGGGAAAGTTTAATATTGTTTCCGAACTTTCAGATGGGAGAAAAAAACAGGAGAGAACCTTAGGAGAGTATAGAAGGTGCAGAAATTTAAGGAAGCACAGGCAATCTTTGAGCTGGGAAAAACAAATAATGCAGATATTTCTGGGTAAACAGCGGGGAATGCTCAAGAAAGCAACCACAAATTAATAAAAAAAGATTGAAGGAATGTCAGAAGACAGGCATATCTTTATTTTTTGGGTAGAAAAGACTATCATCCAGTGGCCCTTCAGCTGATGGATGTATAGCTTTTACGCCTTCATTTTTAATTCCTGTAGGGGAGTCCTTTTTTTTTTTTTGTATACTTCCTTTTCACTGAGCTTTTCAGTAGGAGGAGACGTAGAAGCCCAAAGAATGAATGAAATTGTTTACAGTCATATCAACATTGAAATTAACTGAAATTTCAGAAAAGTTAAATTATTCTGATTATAAAGAGGTATTTCTTAACAGTGTGAATATTATGGAAGTGCTGTTCAAGGGAGATTACAGTTTTGTCCTATGGGATATTTGAAACTGGATTGGACAGAAGAGCAGAAAGGTGGCTGGTGATTTACTAAATGTTCTGTGTGTGAACCTGAGCAATGCAGAATCGACGTGCTGTGTCATGCGCACCTGAACCAGCATGGCTTTCCTTACATTTGCAGCAGGTCTGCATCTTTAATTAGACTCACAGACAAGTAATGCTGCATTAATTTGAATCCCAACAGTTGTATTCCGGGCTGGGATTTGAAGTGCAATCAGGAACTGGCAGCTGCTCATGGAATATTTGAATAGGGAGGTTATATTCAGAATTTTCCTTTAGCACCAAGTATGGGCATAAGTATTCTTATGCATGAGGATTTATACATCCCTCATTAGTTGCACATGTCTAAATCCTCTTTACATTGAGATAGTTACAGTGGTGGTTTTAGTTATTCTTAGGGTTGATCCTTCAGCAAAAAAATGTATGACAGGGTTTAATAGTTGCACACTTGCTTGTGCTAAGCCCAGCTATTAAAAATACTTCTAATTTCCCTTCAGTGAGTATACTCAATTTGTCTTCATAGCTGTGGTTGTAGGAACCTGTTTGTATTTTTCATTAGCTAATGTTTCCAAATTGAGTTTTGTGTCATTGGCAGAGAATTTCAGAGCTGAATTTCTTCCTCATTCCAGAGCCTACATGTGGCATAAGTTTTGTTTGAAGAGGGACAGCTAAATGGTCTTCTCATTCTAAAATGCTTCTGGAAATTCCCTTCTTGATTCATACACTTGTAAATTTAGATTCTGTTTGTCACACATGAATAACGCCTAATTCTCTTGAACCTAATGGGAATATCTGACTCTTAGAAGTATTTATTCCATTGGGTTTTGAATGACAGAGACCTGTCCAAACAACAGTTTTTTCTTTCTAGAACAGTGTGTGGTGCCATTGTCTGCAAAGAGAGAATATGTCTAGACTAGGAATAGGCATGAACTGGAATCTCACATCCATGTGTTTCTGAGTTGCAGGGAAACGGGCATTCATGGTTTTGAGTCCAGATCTTGGCACAATGCACACTTTTAGCCCTTATTGAGAAGGTGAATCACAGTCTTCACTGCTGGTCAGAATGACCTCAGACTTAGTCTCATATTCACGGTCAAGACCAATGTCTTGTGGCTTAGGATCAACTGTTGTCTAAATGTGTGAGACATATAGTGGGTTAACAACAGCAATATAAATAGAATATATTGTAGATTTTAGTAGCTTGGACAAAAAGTCACATTCAGCTGCTGTAATGATTTGCTGTTGGTGGTAGGAAATTTCTGAGCATGGAGATTGACATTGCTGTACTTTGTCCTTTAGCGCAAGGGTGTAAGAGACAGGCTGGTTGGCTGCAGATCACAGGCTTGTAATGAAAGGCCAAGGTGCTACCTGGAGTTTCTCCACCTGTGGGAGGAGTTGTGTCCCATGCTGGGTGGCCTTCCTGGCCCACCTTTAGCTGCCATGACGGGGAGTGGAGGAAGACTAGAAAGATCTGTGTTCCAGATCTCTGCTGGAAGTTGTGGGTGAACATACTTCCACCGGGGGAGTGGAGGAAGACTAGAAAGATCTGCGTTCCAGACCTCTACTGGAAGTTGTGGGTGAACATACTTCCACCTTTGGAAGACAGAAGGCCTTTTGGAAGAAAACATTCAACTTTGACCTGGGCATTTAATGTCATTAGAGGTGTCAATAATTAATAAAATGCCGGCAGATGGCGCCCAAGAATATCGAGTGCCGAGACCGGCGTCACTGGGACCTGGTATAGAATCATAGAATAGTTTGGGGTGGAAGGGACCTTTAAAGGTCATCTAGTCCAGCCCCCTTTCATTTGATTTTGTGTATTACCTGAACATTTTTTTACATGCTGCTCTTAAGAAGGACCGCATAGTATGTCTTCCTAAATTCGTAGAACAACAAGTAATGCATCAAATAGACCCATTGCTACATGTAAGAACTGAAACTGTCTGGAGGTTGGTTGTGGCAAGAAGTGGCTTTGCAGTGCTAGTGACAGGGGAGGAGAAGCACTGCAGAATTCCAGAGGGTAATGCCCATGGCAGGAGGAAAAAAATCCCTTGTTCCAGATGTGGCTTCACTTCAAAAGTGGTGACTTATCTGGAACAAATGCATATGGTAAATAAAACCTTTATAAAGCCTTGCAGAAGGCCAGTTAATTGCAAATAAATAATTGCTTGGGTGGTTGTAATGGTGATGGTATGTCAGGAATGAATTTTTTTGCTTAGTCATGCTTTACAACATATGTTCAAGCATTTCTTTACTCTCATAAATATTGGAGAGAATAAGATGGGATGCCTAGAGGTGGGAGCTTTCTTCTCTTGCTCTCAGCACTCAGGTGAAACACACAGAGGGATTAAAAATGGATTAGATAAGCATTCTTGAGGGAGTAGAGAATTCTGGGAACAGTGCTCTGGCCTATTAATTGTGAAGGATGTAAAAAAACTGCCTGGCCCTTTTCTGATTTGGAAAAGCACAGTATTTATATTGGCTTTTATCTGATTTACAGCTTTCTTCTCCTCCCTCCTCCCCCCCCGCCATCTTTCTTTTTAACTGTTTCAGGGTATCCAAAGTGTCTTCACAATGCTATTCAGATGTCCTTTCCCTGATGCATCCCATGTGCTTTAAAATGTCAATAGGACTGGAAAGAAAACTGTGACCCATAAATTAATACTAAAACTCATGTGTAATTCCAACTTGTCAAGATACAAAATTTTACTTTTAGGCAATTTATTCTCTAGGGCGGTGTTCTCTGCCTGATTATTTCAGAACTTTATTGTTGAATTGAATGGGAAGGAAGCGAGGACACAATATGTATATACTTTGTGCACCCTTTTTTATTTATTCTTGTGTATTTTGTAGATGATGGGTGTGCAGGATAGTCAGAGCATGTAATTATTACATGTTAATTAGTGCCCTAAAGCTATATTTAATTAAATCTGTAATAGCAACAGATTACAAATATTCCTGGGAAATAAATTTCTCTTTGTGAAGTAGGGCTGTTGTAGTGCAGCCTAACTAGAAAATGATAGACTGACAGCTTGCACCATGTAACACTTATTTTTCTATGGGGAAAGATAAGAACACTGGTAACGAAGGGCAAAATGTCAGTGTCACAGTTTTAGCAGCTGAATCTATTCTGTCTGTCTCCTGCCAAATAGTCTATTAAACCTTTTAGCATTATGCTGTCTGTGGCACTAGGAGTTGGTCCCATTTATACTAATAGCTTTACTGTGAGAGACTAACATGAATACCCTTCATTAGTCCTACAGATAAAATCCTGCATAGTACATGGAACATTAACTTGCTTAAAACATGTTGTTCTCAATGTATTGTAGCATGCAATGTGTTAACTATCTGTGTATGTTTAACATATAGCATAAATTGCATATCACTCTTCTACTGAAGCTCCACATTGGATTGAAAGTGTAAAATTGCAGTATATATAGTTTCCATTTATTCCATGGCTTCTGTCAAATTAATTGACCCTTTACTAGCCCCTTTGTCTCTTTTCTTCCATGTGTACTCTTTTAAAAGTGCTCCTTATAATTCTCAGTATTGTTCAGGATGGCACAAAGAAAATGTGCCAAACTGAGCAGAATTTCATCACGCAGACTTGTCAAAAACATTTTCTGAGCCATGCTACACTTTAATGCAATGAAATGTTATCCTTTCATAAGGTTTGCTTCCTTACTTAGTTGTTCAGAAATGCAGTATGCTGTTTGCTTATGCACCATGATTTGTTTCACAGAAAATACTTTTTTTTTTTTTTCCCACAGATACTAGTCAAGAAACCAAATTTAGTTTGGTTTCTCAAAGTACAAATATTATTAGAGGCTTAAGAGTTATAGTATTGCTTAGAAACAAATCTCAAAGACTTTTATCCTACTCAGCTGGGACTCTGAGTTCCTATGAAATTGCAGAGTGCAAGATACTGTAGGAATCTGCCTGAAAAGCTTAAGCAGACAGTGAACTCTTATTCATGGTAAGATGCCACACTGTGCTGATTCAAAAAAACAATCAAACAAAAAGAAGTCAGAGGTAGATGTGTAGTCTGTGAATATTTAGTAGGAATTAAAAGAAAAACTGAAGCAGTAAAACATCTCAGATACTATGCAAAGCGTTGCAACTCACTGTTGCATACTTGGAAGAAAAACCTTCTAAGACACTCACTTTTAGTAGCAGATGCTTTTGGAGTAACTAGAAGAGGCATCCTGCTGCATAGTGTTTTGTCATATTATTCCATAAACAAAGACAACCCTGAGCTTCAGTAAGACAGACCTGAGTTCTAGATTATCAGAACAATGAAATAAAAAATAAATAATCAGAAAGGAAGTATGCATGAGTGAGCAGAGAGGGAAATTTGCCCCCATCTGCCTATGTAAATTTAGTTCATCCCCCCTGTGTACATGGGTTGTTATATAGCCTTTAATCATGTAATTGCATACTGTGGGAAACAGCTCAGCAAAACCACATCGTGATTTCTGCAGCGCTCTTGTCCACACTTGTGATACCATGCTATGCAAGTGTTTACATTCCCACACATTTATTTCATGCATTTCTCTTTTCTTTAGTTTCCTCCCAAAATAATTAAGTAATTAAACAGCTTATTTCCTGCAAAGATCTATTGGCCAGTATGTTTACTTTCAACTTTGCTATTAGCCGGGGTTGTAATTGCTGCAAATCTCCATGTTTTAAGCATTATGAAAGAGTTGAAGCTATGTTTCTTTTTCACAGTCTAGTTTCTCATACAGAGTTGGTATTCTTACGCAGTGTTTGCAAAGATACTGCTGTGCTTTGTTTGCACATCCATCTTTTGATATCTTTCTGGTTAAATGAAGTTTTCCTTTGTCAGGCTTTCAAGTCACCAGATGCTAAAGAGGCAGGCTGAGAGGTCTAAGCTGATGGGAGATTTTGTCCCCAGAGCTGCAGTTTGGGGAAACATACAATAAATTCCTGGTCCCCATATGCTATTGTACAGAACAACATGTGGTCTTCTGCCATTCTTACTAGGGAAGCAGTGTTTGTGAATGCGAGCTGTTTCTGTCACTAAGATGGATGTATTCATTTCTGCAGGGCTTTTGTACGCAGCTATCGGTTAGTCTGGTATTACTTTCAGGCTTTGAGTTTGTGTAGAATGAACTGATCTTGAGAGTTCCAGGGGGGGAAAAAAAACATCAGAAGAGAGAAATTCAGTGTTTCTTCAATTAACGTACTCTTTAAGGAAAGAAGATATGCAAATTCCTTTGGATTTCTTTGTATCAGACTGCAGTTACAGCTAACAGTGCGCTTACAGCATGCTGCTGCTGGCCGCTTCTTCGCTCAGCCTTTTGCTCCGTAATGGGCCCTGCAATACAATCTCAAAATACATGTAGTATTGCCATACAGTCTGTTCATGTATCACACATGCATTGGTTTGGGTTTTCATTTTCCGAATAGTCCGTTCTGAATTTTCTTGTCACACTGAAGACTTCTTCGTTTAGGTTTACTGAGAAGAAATTTCACAGCTCCTACTTAAAAGCTTGCAGAAAGCCTTCTTGCTGAGGCTCTAACATTTCCTGTTAGGTAACTGAGGTTATTGTAACACATTACTTAAGGGGCATACACGAGAACAGACTTCATCTGATATTCCAAAATAAATGCTGACACAGTTTTTCAGTTAAAAAAAGTTTGCCGGAATATTTTAGAAACTAACAATTATATGCTAATATTTCTAGACTAACAGGAATAGAAATTAGAATTAATGAGTTCTCTACAAGTACATCTGTCACATATTTAATAATATGAGGCATATTTCATGCTCACAGCGCTCTGCTAACATTATGCAACCCTTGTAATAGCTCTCTGCAGTAAATACCAATCTTGATTTACTGCGAGAGAAAATGAAACTTCGTTTCCAGGCATGACACCCTGAGGTTCCAAGCGTGTCTCCCCCTGAAGTCAGTGGATATAAATGTTGCTTGGACTATCTGTAAAGAGCTGTGCCCCAGTGGACTTGATATTACTTATGACTGAAAATGTCCTTGTCTAAAACGTATTTACAGTTTAGAACCTCTGACTGCCATAGCTCTGCATTGCCTGGTTGGGTGCACCAGTTTGCAGTTGCTGAAGCCTGGAATACAGAGAAGCAGCAGTGTCCAAACATACCTGTTGAGCTGCTCATGTCTCCTGGGGTAAAGACAGATAAACACTGAATAAATATATTTGCTTAGAGAACAAAGTTTAACCTGGAACTACGCTGTCAAGTTTTCCGTGGATGCTAATTAAGTGACATGATTTGTCCCTGTTGGCATTCTCCCCTGTGTAAAATTAGAATAATAATTGCACCTATCTTAGAAGAAACTGGAAGAATAAATCTTTCCAACAGTGTTGATCCAAGAGAAATATGTCTTAATCTTTCTTATGACAGAATAAGAGTACCTAGCTAAGGTGCCAAACACTGAAGTCCTTGACGTTGTACATACACTTGCAAAGGCATCCTCTTCTTTTGGCAAACTGTGTTCATTCAAAATAAA